GTTAAAAATGAAAGATAGAAAAAATTACAAATTTTAAAAGAAGTTTATGTTCTTTGTCAATTCTAGAAAAGCGGGGTAAATTCTGAGAATTCGTCCTTCAAGTGGAATAGATCCTTGGGTGCCAAATCCAATCTTTAACCCGATTTTCCATTTTTTTTCAATGAATTCTAGAAAAACGATGAATATGAATTTTAAGAATTCGGCCCGCAAGTGGCTAATACCCTCAGTTCCCATATGCCATCTTTACCCCGATTTTCCATTTGATCGGTGAATTTTAGAAAAACGAGGTAAATTCTGAACATTCATGCTACAAGTGGATAATGGCAGAGGTACCCATACGCTATCTCTACCCCGATTTTCCATTTTTTTCAACAAATTCTAGAAAAACAGGGTAAAATCTAAGAATTCATCCTCAAAATTGAATAGATCCCAAGTGGCCAATCTTCAACCCGATTCTCCATTTTTTTCCAATGAATTCTAGAGAAACGGGATTAATTCAACAAACCAATTATCAAAGTTCAAATGCCCCAAGGCTTACCTGGGAGGGAGGGATGTTGAAGCTTCGAATTGATACACGCATTAAATCTTATTAATTTCTTATTTCTTTCAGCAGATTAAATTGAATTTGGTCATTATCCTCCAGTACGTTTTACTGTTTGATAGTCATGAGTTTTATTTTGATGCTTGCCGAGGTCTCCGGTGTCGAACTGCGCGTGCCTCGTGACAATCGTGCCCGATCACGTGTTGCGGGAATCATACAAAATCATGTGTTAGGGGAATCTCGTTACATTATCTTTTAAATAAATTAGAGATTTTTCAAGCACCGCTCCTGTTTAGCTATAGCCAAATAACTGGTTAAAATTGTATGATAATATCATTGTTTTCAATCTATGTAGTCGTTTCCTCCAAGTTTACTCAATATGTGGAGGATGGTTTGAAATTCAGTTAGATTTACCGGCTCATCGACTGAGCTTTTGTTTTCAAGGCAGCACTTTACCCCACCCCCGCTTAAATAGTCACCTTGCTCGCTCTACCCCTGTAGAGTAGTATGTACGGTTCCGTAGCACATAACCATCAAGGCCCTTTCCATCTTACCTTAACCTGAGGCATATTTTATGCCTCTCTAGAGTTTTCTAGAAATGAATTAGACGTGACGGGCCTTTTACTCACAGTGCAAAGCTATTGTTGTTCACGACACGGTGTTGCCGCCTGAGATTGGTCGATTTTTCGTGTCCAGCGAAATATTCGCCGTTCTTTATTTATTACCGCCTTCCTCACACAGTGGACGTCAGTTCCTGACTACGAGATATCTGAGCCAGGTAACCCGCATTTTGAGCCAAAGATTTCGGTTTAGTGCCATGACTGAATTTCTTTCCAGTACAGAAACTTTCAGTGACAGAAGTGCAGTGGTTTCACGTATGGCAACAGATTGTGACGAAAGTTTGCATTTTCACTTGCTGCGAATCGATTGTCAACTTCGTGGGCATTTTGTTGTTTTAGACAACTCAACATTGCGCAAGCAAAGCACAGTGTATTTTGGGAGAGAAGTGATTTTGTTGTTTCTGGCATTTTCAGGTGGATCAGGGATACCGGTGTAATCATTGAAGAAGATATGGATGAAGCAAGCACTCGAGGTTATTAAACATGGACCCTGCTTCTGGGGGCCTCTCGCTATCTACAACCACAAGTTCGAAACGGTAGTCGAAAAATTCGAAGATTTATTCTTAGCAGTTATCTTCTTTCATACCATTACTACAGAAATATCTATTTATTGCCCCTTTTTTCGTAAATTGTTCTTTTTCTTATTTTATTTAAACTTTTCATTCAATATTTTACTGAAATAGAACCATAAACATTTCAACCACGAATCTTAGCGGTAAATACGCGTTTATGAATATATTAGCTTTGTTCAAGAATTGAAATTATCCCTATGTGCCAATATTCTAAGCTTTTTCTTGAGCTGTGGTTTGGGAGAACATTACATTTCCTTTTTTGGTGAGTCAATATTACTTCTGGATAAAACTTACGAGTTCATTTTGATCGTGAGAAAACATACAGGCGTATCATGATGATGGCAAGAACAACAAGCAATTTAATGGCAATAATGATGCTAATAACATTTTTGGAATTTCGAGATTTAAATTTAATATAAACTAGCACTGTCCCTACATAACTTTTTGCAAGAAACTAGCATACGTAATAGTAGTATTAGGTATGTAATGTTTGAAACTTCGAGAAGTGTAATTCGTTTAATACGCGAGGGTAAACACACAGAAATCTGTTAGACGTGATAATTTTTATGGATGGTTGAGTGTTTACCTCGTCTTTCCTTTCGGAGCGTTTACCAAAGGTTAAAGCTATGAAATTATGGCACCAAAACAACATACTTCGTTATCATATTTACGAGAAATAAATGTTTATCAAGTCGCATCATAAAATGTGCTCTGTTTCGGCTTTGCTGCAAAAGAAAGGATTTCGTTGCTAAAGCTTTGAAATAATAGAATCCGAGAAAGAAAAAAAAACAAAGGGAGCTTAAATTATAATTTGAACAGAACATTCCATTGCAATAATTAAATCGCAGATGTTATTTTTGTTATTATGATTTCACAGGTTAAAACCACTGAAATTTGTGTCCTTATCAAGATTATTCTGTGTTGTTAAGCAGTGAATGACAAGCAGACACTTCTAATTTGTCATAGGGGTGTTTCTTATAACTTTTGCTCCCACTGCTGATAAGAATGAATTGTATATGATGTCTTATGATCATACAACATTCCTACTGATGTTACTGTGGATGTTGTGCCAAACTATCTGACAATGAAGTAATATTGTCTTTGGATCAATTTAGGAAATATAGGACTTTATTTTCTTTTGCCTCTAGCACTGGACTTGGACATAAATCATGTGGACATCTCAGCTTCTTGTCTTATGTGTAGCAAAGGCAAAGAGGACATCTGCACCACATGCAAACAGCAACATTACTATATCAATAATTGGGAAAGGCTAACTGGTCTTATGTTAAATTCAGACAGCTCATGGCATGGGGGCTTTTTAACCCAGTTTAGGCTCTATTTGTTCTTTCCAGATCCCCATCAACAGCCATTTTTGTGGCAAGAAGTGTTTTCTTTATTGAGAAATTGCCTTCAAATTTCCTTAGGAGCATCTAAAAGAATATATTAGCTTTGAGATTTGCTCATTCAGGCAATACTCTGATAACTCACGACAGCTAACAATATTTCCATTGCTAAAGGGAAGCTGAATGTAGATGTACAGACAGTAGACTTATTTTTTTATCTCACCCAAGGAGATATGCAAAATCCCAATTATCCAATTTGTAATGTTAATAAGAAATTAACCCTAATATACTTTTTTTCCATGGTTGTCATGTAAGGTAACAGGATTATTTTAAGTAGTACACAGAAAACACATGTCAACACTTAAGACCTCTCCCTACTTAATTATATTGGAAGATGACCTGTCAAGATATGATGCTATTTACAGCAAAGGGATAATATTTGAGACGACTACCATTCTGTATGCTGCAGAAGTTGTGTAATTTTTGAAAATATTATTTATGTGATTATATTTATAGTCATGAGTGATATCATCATAAAACAATTAATTTAATCTTCAGGCATTTTTGCTCACTGGAGTGTTCATATTGTGACCATAAATTTTTTGAAGGTAGACAAATATGTTATTGTCAATTTTTTTTTCAATGTTTGATTAAGTTACAAATAAGCTTGCCTTACTTGAATTTGTATTCCTGTGTCTAGGTTGCTCACTTCAAAACAAAAAGCTCCTCTTCCACCCCCGAAGGTCTTAAAATGTGATCCAGAAGAGGTTGAGATCCTAAAGGATGATATTCATCACAGTTTTAGTGCATCTCAGGGCAAAACATTGCTGAAACAATCACACAACCAAGCCAAAGAACCACAAGCTGTTTTGTTTAAGAAAATTGATGGCCAAGAACAAGAGCAAAGTAAAACTGTGGAGGAGCAGAAAGTGTTGCTTTCTCATGCTGGAGACAAACTTTTAGCAACATTTTACGGAATGCTTTACACAAAAGATAGCACTGAAAGAGACTGGAAACTTGAAGTGGATGGATTTATTCCTATTTGCTTTGTGCAGGTTCAGGGAAATGCAAACAAGCCATTTAGAATTATTGCTGTTGAGAAATCAAGTAGAGTAAGTTATACTTAAACCCTTAACTCTCAGAAGTAATGAAGATGTAACTTCTCCATATTATGTATATACAATATCCAGCAAACAGGTCATGAGAGTACTCAAACTTCTCTGGTAGAATTTTTTATCTTGACCAAAATTCTCATTACTTATTTACAAGGATACTTCTCTGATTTGTTAAATAAGGCTGAAATTCATTCATTGATCAATTTCCATGTCACATCTTTTCCCACATTTTTCATCAAGTCTAAATAATTATATAATTTATATTCATTGGTTTTGGTCCTAGCAGGGCAAGTGGGTTAGGTTAATGTGAAAATTAAAAGCCGCTGCTTAGTTAACAGCTGTTTTCCTCCAAAATCATTTTTGTTTGCTTTGCGGTAGCACAGATGATAGAGAATAAATGTCAGATGTAGTTTGCAAATCAAGATGGGAATATTCAAACTTATCAAGTAGGAGTTTTTATCTCAACCAAAATTTTCATTACTTATTTACAAGGATACTTCTTCTTATGGAATAATTCGGTGTTAAATTATCAAAAGTGATCTTAAAAGTTTAATTTTTTGGCACTAATGGGAATGAAGAATTTTTTGCAAGAATAGATTGAAAAATGTATAATCTAATGCAAAACTGGAGTTTCCTGTGTGCCACTATGTTGTATTATAAGACACTTCCACAGATGTTACTATTGTCGCCATGATCTGTCTGATACTTCAATAAACAAAGGAATTATTTTTCAATGATAAAAGTAGCAACTGTATCACATCATCTGTGCTAAAATAGCATCTACAAGAAAATTCAAGCATGACATAACTTGTTACCCAACTATACTAAGTAGAGTACAAATAACATGCAAATCGATTCTGAATATCATGCAATATTGGACAGTTACTTATTTGTACCATAAAATAATCTGTTCAAATGGTCTACACTTCTCTATTTGCTTTGCTTTTCCTGCTTTGAGATGCATGTAAAATGCAGTAAAACAGTTGTATACTAAATAATTTATTCAACATTTTGGTTTGTTTTATTGCTGATTATTTTTACTTGTTGTTTGTGTTTTGACTCACCCAACTGACTTTTCAAAATAAGGCACAACTCATAAAAAAACTCAGCCATACTTCACACCAAGTGGCTAATTAAATATAAATATTCCATGACTAGTTTTTATTCAGTTCTGGTTCTTGTTATCCATTTTTTAAATGAATGTTTGAACCCTTTCACTCCCAAGATCTTCTTTGAAATTCTCTTTACTGTCTCCTGTATGATTCTCATAATGCTAAATTGGAGAATTTGGTATTGGATCATCTAATAATCCTTTAGTTGAAATTTTTCATTATTCTCATCACTTGTTTGCTCGATATTTTATTGCTATTGTAAGGAGAATTGTAATTTGGAGCAATGCCAGTATCCAGCCCAAGCTCAGACAATCAAAGATTTATCATCTGATGAAAAAAATTCCTCTAATTGTCTCCTTCAACATGCACATCAGCATATTTTGCCACTGGTTTTTTTTTTTTTTTTGCATCAACCACAGTTAACTTTGGAAAATATGTAAAGTGGGTGAATGTAGTTCTTTTTAGTTTAATTGTAGAATAATTGAATGTGATAATTTTTTCCCCAGATAATGGATTACCAAGTGAATACAAATACAACTTGTGCAAGGAGCTCAACATTTGTCAAATGGCAGGATGGTTTATCAATGTTTGGTGTACGTTTTGGGAGAGAAGATCAAGCTGAACAGGTATCTCTCTCAAAAAATATGATGGATCACAAATAATTATTTGAATGTTTATTTCCATTTGTCCAAATTATCTCTTAACTATAATTATTATTCAGTAGGAGCAAACTTCTTTTCCAGTTTTCCAAATCACAGTGGAATGCTATCAGTAAATGTGTTTTTTTTTTTTTTTAACCAATTTGGAATCTTTTTTGAAATTAATTGAGAATCAAAAAGTCAAGAAACTACAAAACAACATTCTAATATTTTAATGGACCTCCTACTTCTATATTTTTCAGTCCACCTTTTGGTCATTTATATTTATGTAAGTCTCCGAGAACTAAAAATACTCTTAGTAATTGTAATTATCCTATCTCCAAAACGAATATAGATCTCTTAATCCCAGCCTCCCCAATATATAATTTTGGGATGTCTCAAATTTTTCTTTGGTTAAAAACCTTTCAAATCAATTTGATTTCTACTCTCCTTTGTTTCAGATCATATAAATGCTTGATATGACACTTAAGAAAAGTAATCACAAATCTGGTTGAAATGTGATAAGGAAATGGAATAGTAGCATATAATTGTTTTAGGGATATATTGCCTTTTCCTTTCCTTATTATACTACCTTGATATTGAAGTAAAACAATTATAGTGAAGTGATATTTCTTCACAACGTAAGATTGATAAGCCTTAATTGACATTCTTTTTGACGGCCTTTCACAAAGAAATATAAATACTGGCTTCTATCCTAAATTATTTGTTCAGCGTAAGCCTAGTTTGTGTGGGTGTTTGCCAAATGCTTCAGTTAATCATTATGGTTTCAAATTGCCAAGTGCTTGGCTGAAGTGTAGGTATAAAAGAAATTATATGTTGTTGCATGGTACATGACAAATGAGCAAAAACTTCTTAGAGGCAATCATGGACAATAACAAAGTTAGTAACATATTTCTTAGTATAGGATCTACAATTTGCTTTTAACAAGCTATGTATGTATTAATAAGTAGTGGGCACTTGTTATTTATCAGTCAAAAGAGAATTACAGAGCTGTGTTAGTGGAGAGGTTGTTCATTGTTAAATCACATTAACTAGTCCAAATTGGTATGCTCTTTGTTTAGAAAAGTTTTGTGTTTGAGCTTTGTCAATCACTTAAAATGAATGTTTAAAGAAATTTGACATTATATTTACAAATGTTGGACATGTTTTAACACATAAAATAGACGTTGATTGAGACACAGCTGAATTTTCTTAATTACAATGATTTCAGTGACAAATCTTTTATCACATATCTTACTTTCTTACAAGTTGCCTTCCCTTGTTTACCTCTTGCAAGCAGTTTAATGATATGCAAGTGAAAAATTTTGTTGATTAGCTATTTATTAGGATGTCACACTGAGCTATTTTTAATTGAGTTTATTCATAAATAAACAGTTTTTAACCACAGTGAAACGAATGGCTTCTACTGTGAGCAAGACGGCACTACTATTGAAACAGCCAGAAAGAAAGGTAAGCTAAAAGTAAGATTTTACACTGCTTTAGATAAAAACAATTCCATCAAAAATTTTTCAAACATGAGTGTAGTAACAGTAGGTGTACAAGTTTTGCTGATTCCTTAATGGTCAATCAACTCACTTTACGCTATGCACTGATATCAAGTTTGAAATAACCACCTAGCACTGTGGTTGGCTTGTATCATTTTTGTTTGGATCATTGCTTTTATTGCTTTTCAGTTGATTTTCATTTATTACAATAATTTAGTGTCACACACAATTTTTACATCTGTGCAGGGCATGAAATTGTGCCTAATACAGGCGCCAAATGAGAATGTGACGAAATTTTTCACTTTGGCAACCAAATCCTGAAAATTAGTTGCCAAATTGGCCACTAGAATGTTTCATCATAAGCTTACTTAGAGATATAGGGAATTAAAAAGATTTGCAAAGATAAATCCGTGGAAAACTTCCTTGGTAAGTTTGTTTCCAAAACACAGCACATGTATCTCGATCAAAAACTAGACGCCATCTTGAATTTAGGTGAGCTTGAACATTGCATATCATCCATCCTAGTGTTCACTTTGTAGCACATTAAAGATCTTTTCCCTATCTTAATTTCTAGAACAATGACAGCGTAAAAAAGAAGGTTTTCTTTGTCTTTCAAAATGGCAACCAACTTTTTTTGAATTGGCTATCACTTTGAAGAATTAAGGAGCCAAGTGGCTATCAGAAAAAAAAATTAATTTCACGCCTTGCTGTGACGATTTGTGAGAGACAGCTGTGTGATACTTTGAACTTAAACCTGAGCTTTGCCCTATCAGATCCCAGGTACCAGAGGCAACAAACTTTTGTCTTTGGTTGACTTGTTAGTTGGATGTATGGCTTTGTTTTCGCAAAAGCCTTCAAGAGCTAGGCTCCCCAAATTTGTAAGAAAAGAGCTTGCAGGTACTCTGCTACTCTTCTAGGAGTGCAGCTTCGTAAAAAGAATGAAATCATGTGATAATATTTTGTGTGTTTACAGGCTATCATAGAAAAGATGTCTGATCCTGCATCAAGTAACATTCATCATACAAAAGTGTCACTTATGATCAAACTACCAGATAAACAAACCACAGTTCTGTCTGTTCCTGGACTGTAAGTGCATGTGTTATTGTAATAGATTGAGTTATTATTCTGTATAAATTATATCATTGTTTGAAAACTAATTTGATTTCTAAAGTAATGATTATACTTGTGGAAGACAGAGAAAGGGTGTGTAACTGGTAATGGTCACACTAGGTACAGGCTGATTCTGAGCTGGTCTGAAGTGGTTCACTCAACTCCCTCCTCTCTTTACTAAAACTTACTTAACAGGAAATCTTTGCTTATTGTGGATTTTAACCAATCACAATAGGCGTTACTCTTTTATTTTGAAACAAGGAACTTAAAAATCTAAATCTAGATTCAGCCAGCACAGCCTTTGGTGAAAATTCTCAGCTACATTTTTTTTTTAACATCTATTCCAAGTCAACCTTTCACAAACAAAGCCATACACTCTTAATCCTTTAACTCCTATTGGTGTCCAAGACAGAATTTCTCCATAAAATGCTGATACAATCTCAAGTGATGAGAATATACAAAAAAGTCAATTACTAGATTACCATTTAATCCAAAGTAAAATTCTCAGTACTAAAACTATAAACAACATGTGGCAGGTAGTAGAGAGAATTACCAATGAAAGAGATCTTGGGAGTGAAAGGGTTAAATGGGATGATGCAGTGACACCAAGTACAGGATTTCAGTCAGGGAGGGAAGGGAATGATTGACTTTGGACTGTCTGCAAATCAGCATTCATCTACTAAGCTTTAGAACAATCAACATTTTTTGACAAAATTGTCCAGGTAATACACCTTTCACTCCCAAGATCTCATTAGTAATTCTCCTCACTGTCAGCCATAAAATTCTTTTGATGTTACTTTGGAGAATTTGATATTGGATCAACTAATAATCCTCTAATTGGTATTTTTCTTTTCTCTCATCACTTTTTTGCTTGATTTTGTATTGATAATGTAAGGAGAAATTCTGTCTTGGTCACCCATGGGAGTTCAAGGGTTCACTGAGAAAAAGGCTGAGTTATTCTCACACTGTTTACAGGATGACATATTCCCTCCCTCCACCTTTCAATGCTGCTTTCTGTGATATTTTTCTAAACAAACATATTAACTGTTAAAATCTGCTTATAATTCAGAGGAAGTGAGTCTTGTTTTTAATCCCTTTTAGACTAACAATGAGTGAATTATTTGAAGAGATATGTGAAAAAGAACATCTGAATCCTGCTGAGCATCAGTTGTCTTTGCCAAGGACAGGAGGAAGAAAAGTCACATTTGATTCTGGTACAGCTGTAGGGTCTTTGAAGATCAGGGAAGTTGCAATAATTAGAACGGGGGCGTCAGACAGCAGTGCTGGAAATGTAGAGGTTGAGGATGAATCAGTAGAAGAATTACTTGATACCAAAGGAGAAGAGGTGATTGTTTTAAAATAATAGTTGCCATTACTGGTGCCTGTATAACCTCTAAGAGACACTTATTTCTTCTTACAGTATCACTGTTGAATCAAACATAAAGCTCAAGGGAACACAGGAAATAATTGCCTTCTGTAGAGACTCTTGATTTTTTTAATTCACTTTGCTAGTACTATAGGAAATGGTATGGAAAAATGTTTACGTGTATGTGTACTGATGTTTGGGTGTAAAAGTTTAACAACATCTTTCATCATACAAAGTTGTGAATTTTTACAGATAATGGTTATTTACAAGTATTTAATGTGAAAAATTGCCAAAAGCAATGAACACAGTAGATTTATATATAGATTTTTTTCATCTATTTGTTTATAATTACATTTATTACTATTCAGTGGCCTGGTACAAAATGCGCAAACTAATTAATAAACAGTTCCTCACCTTGTAGCCTGTGTGTATCTGTATCTCCCTCCCAATGAGAAACGTTTTTCCTCAGGGAGGGAAGGAGGATACGGCAACACGTAGGCTACTTACCTTGTATTGAAAATCCTGTGAAGTCCACATCCCTGAAGCCAAGTGTATTGTTCAAGGAATGTAGATTGCCTCACTCACTTTAGAATTAAACAACAGGCTTAAAGATGGCTTAAACAAAATAGTATAAGTTGGACCTAGGGTGTTCTTGTCCAGATGAGAGTATTCTGGGTATAACTGTCTCCAGTAACACTGGGATACATTTCAACAAGCTGATTGGAAGTCACTATCAGAGTCAAGTGAAGGGTAATTTTCATAAATGAAAGTCACATAGTTACAGTTTTATAGAATGATATAGCCACTTTATAAAATGATTCTATGACAGTGGCTACAAATGTGGTACCTGTCTAAGGTTATGTTATTGTAAGTAAAATCTGAGATATTATTTTCAGCTTTTAAGATATTATTTAAATGCTTCTTTTCTTAACAGAGTAAAATTCTCCAATTTATTCTTCCAAGTGGAATAAAGAAGTCTTATTGTGTGTCTGTTGACACGACTGTGAAGCAACTAGTGACGAGTGTCTGTTCACGTGAAAATCTCAACCCTCGACATCACTCTCTGCAGTATATAGACTTTAAACATGAATTCATTGATGCAGGCAGCACTGTTAATGAAATTGAAGTCAAACAAGTCAGATTAATGGATAAAAGAGGTAAGACACGCAGTTTTGCAAAAGCACAGTCACTGTCAGTGATAAATATGTTTCAGTTTATTGCACTATGTATCCCTGTATTAACCGTTCGACTCCCTTCAACTCCTGAGTGTCAATTCTCCCTGTACCTGCTACAAATCTCCTTACAAATTAGTTTAGAGAATTTGGTGTTGGATCAAGATAACAACTTCTTCCTGAGAAGTTTGAGCTTTCTCATAACCCTTGTGCTGAGTAATGTATAGTTATTATAGCGAAAAGTTAACGGGGTTAAGCTGAATTTTTGGCAGCTGCTTTACTGTTAAAATTTAAACCCTTGAAAGGCTTTATGTGGCTGTTTAAATATTCGAATTTTACAAGTTTTCCATCAAGAAATCCTCCTGTCGGCAAAAAAGAGAAAGAGAAAAGAGAAAAAATTTGATGCCTTGCCAACGGAGGGTGAATTGTCAAGGATATGGTAAAAGGCTTTAGGAAAATTCTATTATCGCATTAGTAATTGTTTTGAAAACCTATCTTTGCCAACACGTATGGCCAATTAGTTTTCCTTGACTAATCTTCTTGTCGAGAGGAACTTGCCATTTGAAATGTAGCCAGCAGACCAAGTGTAATTTTCTACGTTTTTCAGGCGATCGCAGCTAAGCGTGAGGTTAACGAGTAGGGCGATTCGCGTAAGGGATAGAGCGCCGGAAAATAACGTCCCTCTCTGCGCTTATGGCTTGTGATCGCCTTCACTCGTCCAGGAACGATTTAGTTTTTTTCGGATGCAGTCCTCGCTTCTCTCGAGAAGGTTCAGAGGAGGAGCGCAGGCTCATTTCCTGAACAGCGACTGGTAATTAGCCTGCCGCTGGCCTTAAAACAAATGAAAGTTAAACCTGTTCTGTCCTTTGCTAACACGTGACTTGTTCTTAAACCAGCGTTAAGGCGTAACAGCGGTAACACCCTCACAATAACCAAGAGCTCTGTAACTGATGATGACACCACATCTAATGACCCTCTTAACAACACTCGTGAGTACATTAATGTCACAGTAATGATGTGTATCATAACTGGGTGCCAATAATGATGTCATTCGTTCGTTACTGATTTTGGCTAGTGAGATTGGCGGTTGATATTTAGACCAATTATCGTCGGTGGTCTGTTACTCGATCTCTTACTCCAAGCTATATGGAATCAGCCAAAAGTAGTAGAAAATTAAACTGTGGGAAACTCACCGTTTGAGTAACGAGATAATCGTAACCCTCATGCTCACTCTGATTCTACATGAACCTCAAACTGTGCTTACTTTCTCCATACTTGAAACTAAATCTATACTCATCCTCTCTGTAATGCTTACCTCGTCTTTATCAACCGGGCAATCGGTACGTCTAGGCTTAGATATTCCTAATCCTTAACGATAACTAATACTCTTTTCTAAACTTTGTTTCACCATCTTCCTATAACACAACAGATATATCTTTCTTTAAGAGGAAGACCGCATTTTCCATCGGTTTACCGGCGTAGTAACCTCGGGAGATCGCGAAAAAAGTTTGTAACTCGCTCGTCTATACACACATTTGTTGCTGGTTTAACCAACATCTCAGCAGGGTTATTCGGGCAGTAAACCGATGGAAAAGTGTCGCCTATGGGTTTGTCAGCACAATAAACGACAAGTTTCTCGTCAATCGGAGTGAGCATACTATCTCAGGTTTTTTTGTAAATCATTGTTACCTTAGATTTGAGGAAAAGCTGTGGTGATGAAATGGAAGCAGATAATTCTACACTAAGCGAGAGAGACAGGGAAAACAAGATTTTATCGCCGCCAAGAAGCAAGTCCTTAGATGTACTTTCCGATCATAAACACGAGGTAATGTAACTTTACAAACAGAGCAATTTTTCGCAAACGTCGAAACTAATCTGGAACATCATCAATTTATCTTTACAAAGCGTTCTCATTGAAAAAAAAGCACAGTTTTTTTCCCACTCGAACCGACCTAGACCGGTTTATGGCCAACGAGATTGGAGGTTTAACATTCTAGCCCGCTGAAATGCTTTATGAAAAAATAACCAGGAGTTTTCATGTCACTGCCATGAAAAAGCTGCCACAGGGACGCGATGTAAATGCATGTGACCACGAGCTTGTGGCCAGTTGATTCAAAATGATCCCATAAATTGAATAAAAATGCGCGTGAAGGAGAGACAAACAAATTTTGAGATTTCTCCTAATCTCCAGATGTATCAGTCTTAATTGCTCGCTGACCGAAGGAAACAATATCATGTAATTGTTGCAGAATACACAAGAGCACTCACCGTCTAATGGTTGTGTTCCGCCCTCGATGAAACGAGTGACTAATCAACATTCCAGCACGAATAAGCCGCCAGTACGACCGCAACCATTTCGGTCTTCCAAATCAGTGACTCCTCTCATAAACCAGACTGGTAACGTGTCAAACGATGCACTTAAAGAGCTCCCCTTAAGCCCTTTGAAGAGGAGCGATATAATGTACGCTTCTTCTCCGGAACTGAGTGTCTGCTCTTCAAAATCGGACGATTCTCCAGAATTTGATGGTAACATTAAGACGTCAACACCAGATACAAAACGCAGGCGCAGAGCCCCCCCTCCTCCGCGCCCCGCCGCTCCTAAGGCGCTTTTCTCTGAAAATAAAACGAATATCCACGGCAATGGCGCTGCTGTGAAGACGACCCCTTCTTCGATGGCAAGTTCCACCACGTTTCAAGTCTCGGCCGCAAATGATGGTAAACTGAAACCGAGTCACAAGAAAAGACCTGCCCCTCCTAGGCCCGACAGGCCCCCTCCCCCTCAGCCGGCACCTAGATTAACTAAGAAGGGGTCTCAGGGGGGAAAAGACGTATCGGAAGACAAAAGAGAGAAGGACGCGAGCGTTCACTTGGAACAAAACAAGGGAATCACACGGAGGCCAGATCGTGTGCAATTGTCACTGAATCTGGAAACACACCGATCCGACAATCAAGAAGAAGATGAGGTGGATAACTGGAGAGGTGTGCCTGTTTTTATCCCTCCTCCCCCACCAGACGAGTTACCGCCTCCCCTTGAAGAGTGTGAAACCCCTGTTGGACCTCTGACTGATCTTGAAGCTGACATATTGGAAGGTTAGAGGCAAAACGTAAATAAGAAAATGTAAATAGATAGGTTATTGAGAAATTTCTCAATCTTCAACTATTGGTACATGCATTACGCCAGAATCGCCATCAGAAATAATCGATTGTCCAACTCAAGGTTCGTAAGTGTCCTGAAAAACCTGAAAAGTCCTGGAATTTTGTTTTGACATTTTCCAGGAGTGGAAAGTCCTGTAAAAATACCTCAGGTACTGGGAAGTCCTGGAAATCTGCTTAGCTCAAGCAATAGAAAGTTTCAGAATGTACATCATAAGGAATGTAGGTAGACCGTCAGCAGAATTGATTTTGAAATCTCGGGTATAAATAGATCTACGGTGAAATTTGGAGTCCTCGTAAACTCAGCTTTTATTCCCTTTTCCCCGAAGGGCTGAGTGCTTCTGTGAGTGTAATTTACTCGAGTTGCTAGAGAATCCAGTAGATAAATGCTACGCAAACATATGGAGTAATTGGTTTCGTCAAAAGATATTAGTTCATGGGTTGTTGACATATGATAAACTTGTATACAGTTCTATCCTTCTTTTTCTAATACTTGCACGACTTGTCTTCCAGGGGCTGCGGTCACTGATGGCTTTCCTGTGACAATGAACGGTTTCATTGGAATGCATGAAATTGGAATGTTCGCTGCTAACGGTGTCAATGATGCGCGGGCTCAAGCTATTCAGGCAGGACCTGACGAAGAGCAGGAGAGTGAAGATCATTCGACCACAAGGGCAAAACCTGAAGTTTCATTAGCGCCTGTTCCTGAGCAAGAGGCATTCCCTGTAGTTCCACCTCCACCGCTTTATTCCGAGCCTGAGTCTTCACTGGACGCCAAGCAGCTCAACGCCGACAAAACTCCACGGGTACCCCCAGCGGTTGTTTCTAACTCAGGTTTCGTTGACGTCCCTCCTCCCGTAATTGAAGCTCAGACAGTGAGAACGATCTCGGAGAATGACGTCAAGAATCACAATTCAGGGTTCGATCAGGGCCCCGAGAGCATTACCATAACTCCTCCTTTAGATCAGGCGAATGATTTTCCTTTAGGGCACAGAGAGGATCCTGACTCTGGGTCTAGTTTGGATATGGTTAGTACCATTCCACCACCGGCGGATTTTGAAACATGGCCACTAACCCCTCCCTGTCAGTTTGCTAATCCTACGGTGGCACCCCCTGAGGAGTTCGTAAATTCGGAAGAAATTAAAAAGGAAGAAGGGCAGCCTAAGGAAGAAAAGTTTCAGAAGAAACTTTACATTAATGAAGGTTTGTTTCCCTGGATGGACGAAACGCAAGCACCTTTTAATGCTACAATACCTTCAGAGGTATCCAAGGACACAGAGAATGGGTGGGTGGTTGTTGACGTAAATACAAAAGAAAGTACCCCTGTGGATGAAAATCATTCGGAGTATTCCGTTGATAAGGAGGCTGTGGAGACAAAAACTGTAACAAGTGTTAGTGATGTTCTTCATACATCAATAGCTGAAGAGAGAGTCGATAATCACGGTGGTGTTTCAACAGCTCCAGAAATTATCGAGAAAACAGAAAAAACACCGGTGACTGAGAAGCAAAGTTTGGAAACGCAGAGGAGTGTATTCTGTGATAAGAACAAAGACATGCTCACATCACAAGCTATTGACATGAAGGAATCAGGCCAAGTCGAAACCAACGAAGTCATCGTTACAAATTTGAGCTCTAAACAAGGTGAACATTCTGGATCGAAACAGTTTTCAAACACGATTATAAAACCGGTTAAACCAGAAGGGGGGTCGGTTTCTATTTCCAAAGAAACAGAAATCCAAGTTGAGGCCGGAGTGAACGCACAACAATATTCGCTGCCACCGCGGACACAAGATGTAAAGCAAGAGTTATCAGCTGAACCTGCAAAACCTGCTCTTCAAGTTAAACCTGCAAAACCTGCTCTTCAAGTTAAACCTACAAAACCAGAGCTACAGGTTAAAGCTGAAAAGCCAGCCGTAACAGAAAAGCCAGTGACTTTAATCCAAGAAGCAGAAGTTAAAGTTGCGCCGGCAGCAGTCAATCTTCATACCGAACTTGCGAGGCCAGACCCACAAGTAGAGCGTGGAAATTTTGATCATGCCAAACCTGAAAAACCAGAAATTAAAGCCAAACCAGTCCAGCCGATCAAAGAGGCCGAGGGTGCAGTTGATTTCCGGAGGAATACCCGCGCAGAAGCTGCAAAACAGGAACTAGATGTCAGCCTGAAACAACTAAAGGAAAATGCTCTTAACTCCGAAAAGCCGGAAGCACCAGCTAAGCCAAGTCACCTTGTGAAAGATAAGGATTTTAATCCCGACGCAGTTGTTGTAAAGGTAGAGACACCTGTGATACCGGAAAAACGTCAATCAAACATGAAGCCAACTGCGTTTGTCACAGAAGCAGAAGTCAAAGTCGACACTCGACAGGTTGAACCCTTGTCAATCAATTCATCCGTAGAGGTTTTGAGGCCGAATTTAAACGTTCCGCCAGTTGAACAGGATCAGCAAGTTAAACCTGAATTACTAGAGCAAGTGGAAACATTTCCTATTGAAGGGGTCATTACTCAGCAGTCAAAACCGGAAGTTCAAATGTGTTTTACCTCTTTTAAAGAGGATCAGGATGACCATCCGACTGATCCTCCACAGAGCATGCGCGACGGGGTAGCTTCTGTGGTGCGACAAGTTGTAACTGCTCAAGAAACCCCAGTCAAAACTGTATCAACAGAAAGGAAAGAAATGGTCGAAGAAGTCCTTGTTACTCCAGAAACCAAACTTGTCTCCTCTCCTGATGATAAGCTCAAAGATTTAGAGGCTAAATTACATAAGCTAGATGAAGAGACGGTGCCCTCTTCCCCTAACTTCAACAAGTTAGAGAACAAGGCACTTCCTACACCTTATAAGGACGCAACTCCCGCAGTCCAAACTAAGGACCCCTTCTCCGAAGATATTATCGTGTCTGAGATGAAAAAAGTAGAGTCGTCAGATTACGAGTATTATGAAGCGCTCTTCAAGATGGAAACAACTGAAAAATCTACCGGTGAAGTAAAAACCGTGCAGCCGGTGCAGAAGGTTAACGTCGTCCCAGAGAGGCAACCATCTGTTCAGGGTAGTTCTACGACACACGTGAACCTCACTTCTGAGCTCAGCTTGGACTTGACATCCTTCAGACAATCTCCTGAACTACCGCGCCCCCCGTCATCATCTCCGCCAGCCACTTCACCGCGTGGGTCCACTTTGCCTTCCCCTGTTGCATTAAGTAGCGATCGATCAACTGACTCTGGATTTTCGCCGTCTGAGGAGCTTAAAGGTCCAGCTTCACCGGATACGAAAATGTTCGGAGTCAACTCGCTTTCTACCTCAGGCACAGTGGCCGTCCAGGCGCAAACGGTAATTGCCTCGGATACATCGAGTGAAGAACGACACCCAAAGTCTGCACAGGCATTTTCTGCGACACAAACGGATGTACAAGTGGATACTGGGTCTGTACAAATAGCCAAGCCGTACATTACAAAGCGTCCTGTGGAAGTTTCTTCTAAACTTCAGCGACCACTGAGTATGCCAGCAGGTATTGTAACCGGAGATCTCAAAAGCCAAGTTGTTCAAGTCAAGGGCAAAACAACAGAACCCCAATCAAGAAAATCCAGTTCCTCTTACTCCTCTGATGGTTTCTCACCATCTCCTGGAACATCCCCAGTTGACAGCTCCAAAACTGAACCCGCGGACCTTCCCAAACCACCACCCTTTACTGTTCCTCCTCTCCGACGCTACTCCGATCTTGCAGCTGACCTTAGTTTCATTTCATCTGCGGCCAAGGCAGCAGAGAAATCAAACGTGTCTGAAGTCAAAGCGGAAGTCTCCGCGAAGCCACCGAATCTGTTGCTTAGGCGAAATCCAGATACAGCTGTGGAGAGGCCACGGAGCTGGATGGGGCCTGGAACCGACACCACCAAGAAGAAGCCCATGATGTGGGGGTCGGCATTCAAACCTGTGTCGTTTGATGCGCAAGGTAAAAAGGGCATTCGTCCGATTGAATTTCAAGTGAAGTCCTTTTCACCATCATCCTTAGCTCCAAAACAATCAACTTCCCCATCTACATCGTATGTAGACTCCGCAACCTCAGTTCATAGCACGATTTCAGTGACAGAGAAAGTGAGAAGTAATACTGAACTTGGGGAGACTTCAAAGCCAGCACCACCTGTCCCAAGTAAGCCTGCTGTGGCGAAACCCTCAGCTGTCAGAGTTTCGTCGTTACCGCAAGGAGAATTGTCCTCTCATCAACGTGGTAAACCTGACCCTAAGTTTGAAAGATCAGTTAGTACTCCAGAGACAAAGAAAACAGAACCTGGTGCAACTAAATATGAGATAGTCTACTCAACCAAAGATTCCACATCACAAGGCAGTTCCAAAGATCTCAAAGACACCACAGATGGTGGTTCACGTTCGGATTTGCCAAGCCCTGCTAAATTGCGTGACCAAACAAGTGGTCCGAGCGGAGTCACGCGAGGCAGGCCTCGCTCTACAATCTTAACTGGGTCCAATTTCAACATTATCTCAGCTGATGAAAAACTTCCACGTGGAACGGTTGGTTCAGATACTAATAAGCCTGCCACTATTCAACCGAAGGGTGTGTTTTGGACACAAGCTAAGCACCAGACGAATGAACAAAACAAGCCCTTATTGCAAGCTCCAACTACAGCTAAACCGCCACCATCCGCGAAAACAGCTGCAGGAGCTGACACCAAACCACTCCCAGCAGTAGCGATGAGAACCAAAGTAGGGAATTACGACCCTACCAAAAGGCATTCTCCTCCCAGTTACGTGATTGAGGGAGCCGATGGAAAACAATCGAGTATCAAGAAAAGTGGTAAAGGAGAGGCTAAGGTAATGAATTATACACATCAAATGATTGATTGAAATTGCAATAAGGATGAACATTAAAAAGAACCTCTATAGATATGTCATCATTGCTCTTTACACACGCTAAAGAATTCATCAGGCCACAATACACAATGGAAAAAAAAAGTCACCGTACATTTTCAAAATCAATCAATTAATCAGTGTATTAAATGTGGTCGGTTTGCTCAGCTAAAAAGCTAGTTTACAGGTACGCCATGAAGAAAAAAAAAGACCTAGAAAAAATGGAGTGGAAATAGAAATAAAAATTAAAGGCCTTTGGAAGGTGTATGAATTTAAGATAAGTTAAGCCTAGTTGTTTACCCAACGAAATCTCCAAAACTACTCATATTTTTGCAAGAGCTATATGATGTAGAGCGGTCTTTTCATTGTTATCCTCGTAGAAAGCTTGAAAAAGTCCAGATTGCGCAAAGTAACCTTTGTTACGGTACACACTTAACGAAGACGCCGAAATACGAACAAGAACACGAACACGCACACTCCCTGTCCGTTCTAATGCGGTTATCGAGATATATATATATTTTTTACAGTTCCATTTCATCGTGAAGGAAGCAGACACTGATACAACTGTAGTTCCTCGAGGAGTTGTAGCAGCAATGAAAGCCTTGAGAGAGCAAAAAGAAACATCACAAGGTGGGGATTTCTTGTTAATGTGGTGTTCACAGTGTTGTGATTTGTCCTAGTGGAGGAAAGAGCTGCTTACATAAAATTGTTACTTAACGTTGTTAAATTTATGGCTAGAGGCATGTTTATATGTGTTTGTCATCGTGGGTTTTTCTGTTGTTTTTTTTCCTCTTCACACAGCCACTATAACCGACTACTAACTATGAAAAGAAAGATATCATTGTTAAAACTTAGAGCCTTAAAAAAACAGCCTAGCGCGCACAACCTTAAAGGAGGGGGTGGGGGTGGGGTGAGAAGACAGGTTCAATGCTATGATCATTTGGTTCTTCTTGGTGGGGGAGGGTACAACAGTTGCACTTAAAGAGCACGTAAATTCAGGCTTCAGCTAACGGCATTTGTGACAGTTGCTCCCAATAATTGTTTAATCAGCTATTCTTAGTAGACTTCGTAAGAATTCAGGATGAATCTGATTTATTCGCCAGGAAACTGATGGAAATACCCGTGAATGTCACGATGTAAGTGCATGAGTAAACCGTAAACGTTATCTCTGCGTGACGTTGTTTTCAATATTACTGTTCTAGATTTCTATATTTTGGTTTTTTGGAATAACGTACTCATATCAGATACTAATTCTCTCTGTGGACGCAAATTCCGGTAGATTTAATTTGTTATTGTTTAATCTAAAGTGCGACTTATGATTCAATCTGAAGCATAGGGCTTCAATGGCCATGACCAAAACCTTCATCTTACGCCTTTGATATCAGTTTCAAAATTATGCAGTGAAGTCCTGTAGTTTCATTGAACATCTTTTTCTATTTCCAGGGACGTGAAATTACGAGTAGTCCGTCTTCCTAGTGAAATCTGTCGCGCAATTCATTAAAATTCAGGGACAATTTATCCCAGATTCTCATCTGTTGTCGTGCACGCGGCGTCAGGATATTTTTTTCGCCTCTTGCTGGTTAATCGCGTAAGGGATGAACGATTAAATCGTACTTTTCAGTTTCTTAAGTTTGTTTTTTTTACTTGCTACAGGTGAGCTGAATCTTGAGCCGACACAATTGGTTTAAAACCTGTCGCACTTGCAGCTGCATCTAATCGTTACAACGAACGACGAATTAGGTTATGTAATCAACATTAAGGTTTCGTTTTTGAGCTCAAAAAAGTTTCGTACATTACCTTTACTGTTAGAAACTAAGTCAGGGATACAAAGCCGGTTTGATGTATGCCATGGTTAGACAGCTTTCATATTTAGGATTTGGAGCGGTTACGCAGGTATGAAGATTTAATGAATAAGCTATTTTTAGGATTCGTTTATCAAATTGACTAAAACATGTTCCAAACTTCGACCTGTGCACGAAAAGGGGCTCTGTTTGCATGAATTAATAAACGGCAACGGTCGCTCTGACGGAAATACCACCATGTAAATCATAGCATCGATTTGCAGCTGTCAGTCACTTTAAGACTTAAAGGTTACTACTGTTTTGGGTGTTTGGAGGAATGATTTTATTACAATAATGTCTCAATCAGTAGGAGATTATTTAGTTACCGTAGGGTAATTTATTAACTGTATGACTGATAAATCTGCGCCAATATGGACTCCTTGGTTTGCGGTTTATTTCTTGTATCAAGCGCAAACATGCTTTATGATGGTTTAATTGCATAAAGATATCACCCAGGAAAAGTATTCACGTAGTTGAAGTATTGGTACACAATAATGTAGTCTCTATTGGTTAACATAATATATTTATTATGGAGTAAGATGGATTCTTTCCCGTGGACCCACTCAATACAGTGCGTCTAGTATGATGTTACTATTTGACTTCATGATGTTCTTTCTCGGTGTATTTTCTCGTAAAGAGGATTTATTTCAAATTGCAGAAATATTCTTTGGGCAGCTACTCAAACTCTAGATTTGTTTCTATGATTAATGATGGGTGTAATATACTTAAAATTCAACTCGATAAGATGTAAATACCAATCATTTAACAGTTTGGAAGGTGTAACTACTGGTAAAAGTTGAGATTTATTTACGAATGGCATTTACAAGAATTAAGGTTTTTTGTTATCGTCGTGAAGCGAGGTCGCTTTATATAGCTTCTGAGAGGCGTAAATACGTTAGTTTTTTTTTCTTCTGGAGTTGTTAGTAATTTTATAGTTTTCGTTAAAGAGAAATTCTGCATTGTGCAAATTCTAGGTAGGTAGTTTGTTAGCTTGCATTGCACATGAAATTTGTCCAGAACAGGGAAAAAAATTGACCTAAGTGTAACATTGTAGCGAAATTTTATTTAATTGATGAAATGATATTTGTGATCACTTTTGTTACAGGGTCAGATGAATATAATTATTTTTTTTGGAATTGTTTTTGTTGTTGTTAAGCGATGCCTTGAGCAGGAAAGATCATTTTTACTTTTGTTTTTTCTTTATTGATTTTATAAAACGAGGAAATATATTTGTGATTTAGATTTTTCTACCTTTGATAAGTCCAATATAGATAAAAATAATTATTTTGTGCTATTAGATAGATACAAAGTCAGGAATAAATCAAATGCTGAATCGACAGTGATTTTATTTAACAGTTTGTGGTAATAATTTCTTTCACGTATGTGTTTCATAAATGTGACCCTATCCCATGTCAAGGTGGATACCAGCCGACTTTATCGATTGAATATAATCTCCAAAGGTTTTCCCATACAAAACGGGTCGATGAGTTGTCCTATTAACGTCATCCAGTGTTGGGCACCAACAACTCGAGTCATTCGTTTCTGAATGACTACCGAACTACCACAGAACGCTCGCGACCTGGGTGATGTCTTCTGTGGGAGTGAATACAAATCGGAAATCATTTCACTCGATCCTTCAAGTTACTTTAAACATTATGGGTTCCGAAAAAGGCTCTGATATGTGTTCCACCTTTCCTCTCGCGCGTTTCTTCCAGTCGTAATATTTCTTCTCTGTTTTGGTCACGTGTACTCGCACATGTGCCCACAGCCCGCAGGACACCAGATATATTTTTCAAACCACTCCTGCATGTGAGTAAGATGGCCGCCATGGCCACAGCCTTGGCACCACACGTTAAGACCTTTCACCATCAGATGACTGCAATGAGTTAAAATATAGTCAGGAAATCTTTGAACTATGCGTCGACAAAACCTTCGTTCGTAATAGCAGTAACTTTCGCGTGGTACAGACTATTGCCGAGTTTTTTTGTTTTTTTTTTTAAAGCTGTTTAGTTACAAGGATGCTCCAACTTTTGAGATTGTGTATGGAACTTCAATGAGTAATCATTCAATTGACGATTTTAAGTTTGTTATATTGTTAAAGTTGGTTCTGACTCCAACAATTGCTGTTGATAAACCTCGTTCTATTAAATTCATTTTTAAAGCGAGATTTTAAAGACTAAAAGAAAAAAAATCAAAGCCAATTTTTTTCATGGGCTCCTTAACGCCTTACAGACCATAATTTGACACATCATCCTCTTAATAAGAAAATAATTCATACCACACTGAGCACGGGAACACAAGACTTCGACATCTTTCACAATACCAGCCTGACTTGGTCAACGGTTTGGAACAACGCCCACAAGACGTATACACTGTTGTTGATTCCTGACGACAAAATAAGAGTACGAATAATCACTAAACTCGTGCCAAAAGATCTGTGGCGCTTCTGTGTCGCACGCTCATTCTTTTACGTGGAGAAAGGCACGGCGGGAAAGACGCAACTTAACCAAAAACACAACACAGAGACCCAGCCAGTGCTCGAACCCAGACCTCTCGATCCGGAGTCCAGTGCACTAAGCACCAGTCGGCCACCTCTACTACCTTAGTGAACTGGAAAAGGGTGAATCATATCTAAGATATGTTTCTCAGAGGAAATGGAGCTTACACTCTTCTGATTGAAAAATTGTGCTATAAATGTTACACTTCACACATCTACGGTATGATCCATTAGTTGTCAAATTCAGTTTTACCTGGTTTAATGTGCTGACTGCAGGCAGACTGGACAGCTTAATAATTTGATTTGCCACCGACCACAGCTGCAGACGGCCAAGTAAATCTTCCCAAGAAAGATCATTCAATTAAAGAATAAAACAAGCTTTAATATCATAAAATATATGATCATTCATCGAATCACCATGGTACGTCTGTGGCTCGAGCCTTCAGGGGTAGGGACACTAAGGCATCTTCTTTCTTAATTTCTTTAGAGGTTTACTTCTTTCTACTTACCTTCTTTCACAATTGAAAGAAGGTCACAATTGTGTTATTGTTGGCCTCACCATGCAGTCACCAGACTTATGGATCGCGATCCACAACGGAAGCAACCGGCTTCATCGTGAGAGTTATTCACCTGAATCAATGGCTGCAACCATTTTTACGATATTGAGATCGCAGTACTCACCAATATAAGCCAAAAGCCACTGTTCTTGAGTTTGTTCGTCAATATTATTACGAATTTTCTCTCCGAGGACAATCAACGCAGAAACGCACATTTGCACGTCTCCCTAACACAAGGATGAGAACAGATGGGTGATTATCTTAACAATACAAGATTGGGAATGAGCCAGACCTACCCCTTATTAACCGAGTTCGAGGTCTGTACTGTAAATTAAGGATTTCTAGCCAAAACGCCAGGCGCGCGGGTCATAAATACCAGCAGTAAAAGAATGATGTTCCGTAACTTACATTGCAGACCGAGATAACGAGGTTGAGATAGAGTGGGTAAGATTTAATTCAAACAAACTTCCAGTTCAAACAAACTTTCAATTTAGAGGGCCGTACAGTGAAATACGGCCCACTAAATTAACCAATCATATCGCACGTACTAATTGAGACGTAATAATTTATTACACTACTTATTATATTATAAATAATAATATGATAAATAGTGTTACATTATAACTTGATGCCAAACACTAACGCCGTTTTCTGAAATTATTGGTTGGAAAATAATTTGAGGTAAATGATAAGGGCCAGAGTTGATTTCATTGACAATCTAAGTGAAATTTATTCACAACGTGGTTTTCGTGTAACATTGAGAAACCTTGTTTTTACTAAACACAGCGACATTGCATTGTTCTAACTGAACATACTAAATCACATAACAAAGAAATATGATACAAAGTGCGACTCTGGACAAATCCAGGGCACAGTAGTTTTCAGAAAAAGTGCCCACCTCATCTGCAAAGTGATGAAGCATTTCCACAACTAGTGGTGTAAAATCCCACTCGGGAAGAGACTGGTAAATGAGAGAAAAAATAAAATTAAGTTGGAGAATAATTACTGTATAAAGAGCAAAAACAACTGCTCAAAAGACTGGACACATAGTTAGATGCGTAGAAATGCGCGGGATTGTTTAGACGCCGCCATTTTAAACCTTTAAACCCTAAGAATGACTGGCGCCTAATTTCTCCTGACAGTACCCCCCTTGAATCCAAAATAAAGGTCATAAGAATCAATGAAATGCTCACCAATTTAGGAAACTCCAGATTGTCAAACAAATTCTCCTTGTCAGAACCATAGGAAATGTCAAGAGAACAGCATGGAGAATATAAAGGCAGGTGTTACGGTGTAAAGGGTGAATATCAGATCAAGTACTCATCTTACCAACGTTTTGTTTGAGGGGGAAACAGATCCTTGATTTTCGAGACTTGAATCAATCAAGGACTTTGGATTCGTGGCCGAGGTTGCTTCAGACTCTATATTGCTAAAAGCAAAAGAAACAATATAGAAGAATCAAAAGCACATCTGATTGATAAAAATTGTTATGATTCTAACCAAGAATGACTTCTCAATAAAATGAAAACGAGAATCTCCCGTCTAAGGCCAGGAGATGGTGGTTTCAACCAAATTAGCGTCAAAGTGGCTCTCCATTTTGTCCCCATTCACCATGAAAACACCCTACTTTCTTCGGCTGCGTGAAGATATGAAGACTGGTAACAAGAATAACAAAATGATTTTCGCAAAAAAAAAAATTTAATTCTAAGAAATAGTATCAAACTTGACTTCTGTATTGATGGTTGTGAGGATTAAAAAGTTAATCAAACCTGGTAGGTGAGTCGGGTCTATCTGTTTCTTGATCCATGGTTGGAAAAGTGGGTCTATAAAAAAAATCACCATCAAAAACACCTTACGAAAAGAGGTAAATAAAGCCTTGCAGACCAAATACAAACATCAGGACATGACCTTTAATGGCATGTCAAGGTTCTGACCCACACTCCCAGACAAATTTGTTTGGACAATTACTACCTCCACTGCCCCTCTCAATGATGGTGTGAAAGATGGCATAGACACATTAGCAATTAACAACATTGGAAGGGGAACAGAGGCAAAAGAACATCATATCTACATTATAAGAATTCTCTATTATACCACCACTGGGCTGTTTTATTATTTTACCTATCGTCCAGCGCTGCTCTAGGTTCAAAAGCTTCCTAAAAATAAGAATATTTACATCATGTCTTAAGTCTCTTTAAATTTAATTTGGGGGAAGGGGCTAAGCTGCGAGAAATTGTCACAGGGGTGGGTTGCAGGGAATGGTCACGGGGGTGAGTCGCGAGGAATTGTCACGGGGGTGGGCTGCGAGGAATTGTCACGGGGGTGGGCTGCGAAGAATTATCACTCTCTCCATCCACAGTTCATGCGCTTCTTTATTCCGTGAATAAAAGGGGTAAGTTTCGAAAGAGTTTGTGGTGCTACATTGGTGGGAGAGTATAACAGGGTGAGTTGATAACGTAAATTGGCCACCGTAAAGAGTTTAAAAGCTGACGTTTCGAGCGTTAGCCCATCGTCAGAGCGAATGACGAAGGGCACACTTGACTGCGCCTCTGTGGTGCCACTCTTATCTATTACTGTGCAGACCCACGACAAAAAAGAACTCTCTGTTTTATATGACAAAAAAGCAAACGTCATCAATGCGTCTGTCCTCCAACAGATCATACGTGAGAAATAATTAAAACGCGTGTTTAATTGAGCTTATCACATGAATAATAATAGATCACAGATGATGTTAAAGGGTGCTGAAAACCAAGACTCAATCTTTAATCATAATGCAAGAAAGACAAAGACAAAGTCTCAATGATGGCGTCTTCAATCTGTCATCCAGTGGACTCCAATTACAGTTCAGAGCCTACCAAATGTGTGACAAATTTTGTACGTTAAATAACTTAACATAGAAAGATATCTGTACACAAGTGTCACTCACGCTGGCTAGCTTCCATTCCTGTGGAGCATCTGCGAGAGTGATTGGGCCATCGTAGTGGAACTGAAGTTCATCGTGATCAAAATCGTTGAATGTAAATTCTAAGAAGATTTTGTTGCCTTCTGTTAGAATTTGAAGCAAGCTTTACCTATCTATCGAAAAATCTAATTCTTTGCCACTCTTGTTGAGCTGAAATTACAGTCGAACCTCCCTAGCACGGACATTAAATGGACAGAGTGAAAGGATAACGTCAAATCACAAGAATAACAAAGGAAGAGTATTCACACCTTGGCCTTCAAAATTCATCAACTTCGCGTTTTCATTTTCGCTGCTTGTCGACGATAAGTCTTTATTATCGTCTAGAAAAATTGCAAAC